TAACTTGTGGTATTGCGCCGGATTTTTAAATAAGTACTTGTTTATTAATAATTATTTTCATTAGAGTGCAAGTGGTGCTAAATTTAGTGGGAACGCGATCTTCTCGACGAGGTGCCGCGATCTACCTATTCATTACGTTAATTCGGATCTTTGTAAATGGAATACGTTGAAAACTTATTTAAGATCAGTCTCTCAATTTCGTTTTATAGAAAGAATGACAAAGATAGACTGTTGTCAAAGGACATGGCTAAGAAACTGCCCTTAACGTGTATAAATCGCACTAGCCCATATTTTTACAATATTTTTTTATGAATTATTACGTGTTTATTATTCTCATACAACTTTTGTGAAATAATCAAATATTTAAAAGTATAAAAATTGACTTTATGTCTGTTTAAAAAGCAAAATATTCCGTTTTACAAAATAAATGAACAATAAATGTATACAAAAAATATTTGTGTAAGTATATCGAAATAAACAATATTTTTTATAAAGCCTTTCAAACTATGACATATTTTAGTATAAGAAATCACTGAAAGCCTAAAATAATAGATTTTATTTTTTTGATCAGGCTTGAGACAAGGCTGTATGATAATTTATCCTTAAATTTTTGCAAATAGACAAAATAAAACTTCACAGATTCATAGTGTAACTTGTGATTGAGAGGGGATGTTAGGAATAGTAGGTAGTATTAAGCTATAAATAAAAAATGTCCGTTTCCTCTCTCTTTCTCTTATTTCTTGACTCCATGTCGACATGATGTGTTTCAATAAGTCGTTAATTAAATAAACAAGCCCAAATTAATTTTCCTATCTTTTTCTTTGTTGTCCTGACTGTTATCAAAATATTGTTCCTTTTTTTAATAGTTCTACAAAAAAGTCCGTGACACCATGGTAGCTTTCCAATTACAGAGCATAATGCGACTGAGTGGCGCACAATGCCGAATTATGCTGATGCTTAATTGGAACGTGAATTAGATTTCAAATGCACCAGCAGAGTGCGCTAAGTTCGGTTTTAAAAAAAAATATTCATAGAGTTAGCAATAACCTCATTAACGTGTAAATAAAGTAGTATACTTAATAAATCTGTTAGTGAAAGCCATTTTATTTAATGTAAGACATTAAATTTTATTTCAATAAGAACTATTTGTACCTGATAATGAAGAATTGTGGAGTTCAGACTTTTCGTTGTTAAACACTTGCTTTTCATGGTTTTCTTTATTTTCATTCTCGTAATTATGAACAAATAAGATTGTGTTGTCTTTTTCATCTTGATAAATAAGTTCATTTCCACGAAAACATTTTGGGGATGTTTAAAAGTATGTATCGATAGATTTAAATCACGTGTTGTGCCTGCGCAAGAGCTGTGTAGTCTTGCTCTAAGGAAACAACGTTAATGGGAGACATAGCATCTGCCACTACATTGTCCTCCCCTTTGATGTGTCTAATATCAGTCGTAAATTGACTGATAAATGACAGCTGGTTCAATTGGGGAGGGGGAAGTTTATCCCGGCGTTGTACAAAGGTGTACAGCAGTAGCTTGTGGTCAGTGTAAATGGTACAGTGTTCGACTTCTAAGATATGCCGGAAATGCTGTACGCTTTCATACACTGCCAAGAGTTCCCTATAATATGCAGGCCATTGCGACTGCCGAGGAGTCCGCTTTTTGCTGAAGAAGGCAAGAGGAGCCCACTCTCCGTCGGTCTTCTGCTGAAGGCAGGATCCAACATGGACACTAGAGGCGTCAGTGAAGAGGCCAAGCTCGGCACCACCTACAGGGTGTTGAAGAAGAGTGGCGTCACTGAGGCTCCTTTTGTATTCTTCAAAGCGTTCCAGTAGCTCGGGTGTCCAAGGGAATGGTTTCACACCTTTACTGTTTGTGGAGACAATGGCGTCGATTAATGGAGCCTGGTATTTAGCGGCGTGCGGAATAAAACGGCGATAAAAATTGATCATGCCGAGAAACCTCCGCATGCCTTGGACTGTTTGGGGAGGGGGGAAATTTAAAAGAACCTGTACACGGCTTGGTGGTGGGCGTACGCCTTCGGCGTTCACGACATACCCAAGAAATTTAACCTCTTTGGCACCAAAAGTAAACTTGGAGTTGTTGATAACCACACCATACTCCTTGAAGTGGCTGAAGAGGATCTTGAGGTGCTCCTTATGGCAGCTGCCATTAGGGGAAAAAACAAGCACATCATCCACATAAGGAAAGCAGAAATCCAGACCCCGCGTGACCTCATCGATGAACCTCTGAAAAGTTTGACCAGCGTTCCTCAAACCCAAGGTCATAAACGGGAATTCGAAGAGGCCAAACGGGGTGGTGATGGCTGTTTTGGCAATATTCTCTTTAGCCACTGGGATTTGATGGTAAGCTTTTACCAGATCCAAGGTGCTGAATATATTTGCCCCACTGAGGCCGTTCGCGAAGTCGTGAATGTGCCTCACCGGATTCCGGTCTGGTATAGTTCTGGCGTTTAGACTGCGATAGTCGCCGCAGGGACGCCAGCTGTTGTCCTTCTTCAATGTCATATGAAGAGGAGAAGACCACGGACTGTCAGAAGGTCTTGCTATACCCAAGCGAACCATGTCTTCGAACTCTTTCTTAGCGGACGCTAGTTTCTGCGGAGCGAGACGGCGGGGACGACAGGAGACCGGAGGACCGTCCGTGGTTTTAATATAATGGAGGGTGTTGTGCTTGACGACTCTCGGAAGACCAGGAGGTTTGGTAATTTCCGGGAAATCTAAAAGCAGAATTTTGAACTCGTCGTCTTCCGAAAGTACAGCCTTAACACTGGGTTGTTCCGAAGTGACAACAGCTGTTACAGCCGATAAGCCGGTAGTGCCATCAACCAAGCGTTTGGATCGGCAATCGGGAAACAGGTGGAAGTGGGACAGGAAGTCCGAACCGATGATGGCTGTGTTGACGTCGGCGACGACAAAAGTCCACACGAAGCTACGGCGGAGACCAAGGTTGAGTGAGAGGCTTACGGTACCGTAGGTCTTGATACCACTCCCGTTCGCGGCGCTGAGCTCGTAGTGGGTGGTTTTCTTCGGTCTAGTGAGCCAGCGGTAGGGGTAGCAGCATAAGTCGGACCCGGTGTCAATTAAAAACTGCCACTTCGGATCTTTGTCCGTGATGAAGAGGCGGCGGCCAGAGCTGGAATCAATCTCGCAATCAGTTGCCGCCGTTACTGATTGCTCTCCGCGTTTTCCGCCTTCCAGTTACAAGGGCTGCTGCACCGGACTGCCTTCGTACCAGACTTCATGTGGTACCAACAGGTCTTGCGTCTCTTCGGAGTAGTGCTGTGCGAAAACCCACTGGTTGAAGAGGGGCGGGCGCGGGGTGGGCGCTGGGATTGGGCTTTCGTTAAAGCAGCTATCGATCTGCTCCATTCATCGAGTCGCTCCATCATCGACTTCACTGTTTGCTCCATGCTGGCAGCGGATGACGTGCTAGTAAAAGCCGTAGAAGGAAAGCTACAGACAGATGGCCTGAAAGTATGTATCGATAGATTTAAATCACGGACAGGAAAACATGTGCTTAGGAGACGGACACAAAACTTTCGAACTAAACAAAAATAAAATTAAAATATTCATTCAAGATTCCTTAAAAAAAACATTGCATTATAAAAGTAATATTTACAATTATTTTGAAAATTAAAACGTAAAACAAAGATAGAAAAATAGTAAAAATACAAACAAAACACTACACGTCACGGCGCTCTCGTCCCAGAATGTATTGACATTTGTGGTGTATTTCCAGCGTGTGCACGAATTGCGAGCGATCGCTGATGCGTTGACTACCGGCCGTAGTAATGATGGGAAAACTCACCCCTGTAGTTGACTTGATAGTATTATGTACATACGAGTAAGATTCCAATAATACGGATGGCCTTTGCCGTGTAACTCCTGTTCGTCTAATTTATTTCTTCACTTATCAGGGTCACCAATTTGGTATCCCCATTTAACCGCTGCTCCCCATTAGCGGAATAGAGAAATTAAACGACGATACTTCAACTTATCAGCACTATATTTGGAAAATATTCACAATTATAAAATACAAATTTACGGACGAAATTTTCTATCTGAACTCTATTTTAAGAATGACAATTAAAAATTCAACAGAAAATATCAAAAAGAACATAATTATAAAACTTAATTTCTTATGTGCCAGTGCCTAGGGAATGTCCATAGACACTGGCTGTATGGCGACATGGACCAACTTTTATGTGGTGCAAAGTCGCCACAACATTGATGATTGCCTGCGTCATTAAATGATTCAATCAAGCCATTACAATGTTTACAAAAGTATATTCCTGTAAAATAAATTTATCTATAGATTCAAATTCTGAAATAAAATAAAATTGTATTCACATTTTAAATGTGGAATATAAAAAAAAGTCAATGTTTGTACCTTCATCCATACTTATTACTAATTTATTTTTTAACACAGTTTGAATTAACTTTAATTATTATTTAACTAACGATAATATATAAATAAAACATTTCGATCAATGCCAACTTAAAGAAAAAACACTTGTTAATTTTCTGTCACTGAGTTGGTACGATTGCACACATCACACGAAAGCATTACTTTTGAGAGTGCTCGATTGTGCGAAGCGTTGCTGTAGTTGAAACTTTTAACGTTAAGCATTATGCCGCATAATGCGCTATAATGCTGTAATTGGAAAACTACCCATATCTCTTCTATCTTTTAAGACACTAATGCTGTCAAATAAGATAAACCCAGTGCCGTAAAACCGAAATAGAAAAAAACAACAAGGAGATTTGGCTGGGTTTTATCGAGTGCGGTTGGCGTTTATTTTTTTGGAATTTAATTTATAGCTATGAAAAAATATATAGTTATATTCTCATTCATAGTGGATATTGTAAAATAAAATTGGTGTGACTTTATGTTACAACCGTTACACAATAGAATTAGTGGAATCTTTAAAATATACGCTATTCCGATCAAGTGGAAGTGAGAACTTTATTGTAGTTTTGACTACGTCACAGAAGCTTGTCGAGAAAACTGACTCAATACATTTCGTGTTAAACACGTCAAGAATATTAGAATACGTCAAACACTCATTCTAATGTACAAAAAAAAACAAAGAAAACGGAAGAGTTTGGCTGTATGGGCATTATTTCCTTTGCCTTCCCTAAAAAGGGACGTTAAAAAAACAGGCGAAAATAATCTGCAGTTGTACCATATTGCCATATTTCGTGCTGTTGCTGTCTGTTTCAGTTTCATACGCAGAATGTTTCCAATTATTTTGTTTTCTTAGTAAAATTGTGATTTGTTTGTTCCTTGAATTAATTTCCAAATAGTCATGAAACATGATTCGCTTAGTGCTAAGAGCTTTATTGTTTTCAGTTCTTACGATTGCTTCAGTGACAGGAAGAATACACAAGTTGTTGCTTTTGGTATGTACATAATTTTGTAAGACATCTCAAAACACTGAATTGAACACTAAAAATATAATGAGAAAAATAAAGTTTTAACAAATTAAGACTCAAAGTTGTTTTTAAATTGTTGCATAATTGCGAAATGTAAACTGCCAATGTCGATTGCTCTAAGACTCGTAAATAATTTACGATATTATTCAAACATTGCATTGCCTTATGCTGAGCGAATGTTTTGAATACCATTTATTGCAGCACACCTGTATGTTTTATGGGAAATATCAAGCATTGTAATATATGTAAAAGTTTATTTATGAAACAATGAAGAATCCACAACACCAGTAAACATAGGTAAATAAAATATACTCTATCTCTAACGTATGACTAATGTGAATACCTACTTGATTGTTTAAACAATGTTTATGGGTAATATTAACAGTTCCAAAAGTATCATATTCTAGTTGAATTCATAGACAACATCCTTTTTATTCCAGAAAATATAGTATTAAATAAAGACTTGTTTTCAATCTATAAAACACTGATTTGAATTTAATCAATTTGTTACTGTTAAATGGTTAATGTAAACTTCTGTGTAATAACATGACTTATGATGACACATTGTTGATAATGTGTGTGTCTTAATAATGTGTTTATTTTAAAATAATTGTCAATCAACCTATATCTTGTCATTAGCACACCTAAAAGAATCTGCAAATGATCTTCATAACCTGTTATAGATAATAGACTCATATTTCACTCTACAATAATTTTATATCAAGTTACTGAACTATAGAGAATTTTAATTTTTTGTTCCTTAAAAGTTTTGCACAGTTTGGGCCTTGAAGCCATTATCAATTCATAAGTTAGGGTTTTGGAAAACAATTTACCTCATCACAAAATTTAAAGCCTCACCAGATATAAATACCTGGCCCCCTTATTATTACTTGGACAAGTTTTATAATGGGACTGATTCAGACATGACTCTCTTAACTTATAACTAACAATATGTAAAAGAACTAGTTTCAATTAATACCTTTTCTCTTTTGATCAGACATTGGCAAAAGCATCATGCAATGAGAAGCAGCCATCTGAATGCAAAAAATGAATTTATATTTGACAGCAGTCACCCATATGCTATGTTTAATAATAAGCTCTTTGTTTTAAGAGGCATCTTACATATTTAAGTAACTGAATAATACTATTGCGCTATTATTACAAACTTTATGCTGTGAAAGCCTAAAAGCAAATAAATTATTTATGTTCTCCAGTTTTGTATGTACAGTCAATTGCTATGATTTGGACCCAAAACTTGAAATGTGGTTTTTAAAATCTTAGCTCTTAGGATTTTGAAATCCTAAATCAAAGAATGCTACTGTAGCTATGCTATGAGTCTGAGCTCAGCTGTACATCTTTATAACCATCTTTATAACCTAACCTTGTACTAGTCATTTTAATTTAAAACATGTTGACTTTAAAGATGTACTTAAAACGTTTCACCAATTAAATAAAAAGAAAACCGTGGATCTGTGGGGCAATTCCGTTGATGTTTCTAAATCGGTAATTGAGACAATAACTCCTATTCTAGCTTGCATATTTAATGATTGTGTTGACTGTGGTGTTTTTCCTGACCTCATGAAATACAGTAAAATAACTCCTTTGCATAAAACGGGAAGTACATCAGACCCCACAAACTTTTTCTGTACTACCCACCTTTACTAAAATTTTGGAAAAAATCATGTTAGATCAAATGCAATCACATTTTAATAAATATTGTAAGGTAAAAAAATTAAAAAAACCGTGTAACTATTTAGTTGTTTCAAAAAGAAAAAGAGAAAGGCTGGAGGTGGTGGCCGGTTAATGGTAGCCGATTTTAGCTTCTCAGCTTCCATTTAAAGTGAGAGTTGTAATGGGCGCCGGGAAGCTGGTGATATCTCCAGGTGTCCGGAATAACTTACGGGAACGTCAGCTTTTAATCTCAAAGGCAGTTTTGACTAGGGTTGAATGCTAAAGGTGTTTTCCTCTTCAATTATTTATTGTGAAAGTGTACATACCAGATTGGATTCCAGGCGTCAAAGTACTTTAAGTATTGGATTTACTTAGACTATTATGGCTGGTCCATGGTCAAAGATATCAAAATGATATTTATAAAGATATCATTAAAATTAAAGATGATAAAGACAAGATAAAGAGCTGAAACAAAAGAGACATTTTTGAGACCAGGCAACATGGCTAGATTTATGTATGACAATTTTAATCTTAATTCTTACCTGCAATCGCAGCTCTTTTAAAGTTTTACTATAGGGCCATTGGCACCTATATTAGTTTGCAAAAATGCGATGAGCGCATTTTTGGAAAAAGAAACCGAACTATAAATTATTATTATATTTCACATTTTTAAAAAGCGACTGTTCGTGTCTGCAAAGAATCGAAAAGTAATGTTGCCAGGTCGCACTTCAAAAAACGCCGCGAGTCTCAGTGTTGGCGCATTAAAATTTAAATTTGGGCATGGACAAACCATAAATTACAAAAGTTTACTTAAATTTAGAATAACAATTATTACGTATTTATTTTAATGTTTTATAAAATTAAGACAATTTGTAAAGATGTGTTTCGTTTATTAAAAAAATAGGGAAAATCCTTAAGTGACGGATGTCAAACCATATATTATTTATTTATGTATGTGACGGCGTAGATACGACGTTACAATTCCCCCCCCCCCCGTTTATAAAAATAACGAATGTTATTTTTATAACATTCAACTACACCTAACAGTAAAGAAAGAAGAAAGAAAAAAAAATGATTACTTTATAATAATCTAATAAAATTTCCATTGACTGGCATGCAACTGGTTAAATATGGTCGGCACACTCGCCCCATATAAAACAGCAAATCAATTTAAATATGAAAACAAAAGTTATATTAAAATTAATTTATTGCAGAAAATATTCCAATATAAGGATTTCTTGTTATGCATTGAAATGCTTCTGGTTTAGAGTAGTCAGCACCATCGCCTTACACTAAACATTCGAATACAAACAATATTCCTAATAAAATAGACTTTATGAAAGTTTCAAATTCTTAACACATAAATGTGTGGAATAGGAAAGAGAAAAAAAATGTTCTACCGATTCAACCGATTTAGAGTAGTCGGCACCCTCGCCTTACACTAAATAATCGAGCAGAAACAAAAATTACCAAACACAATAATAATCGAGTTGGAAAAATAAGTATTGTGTTACCGAATACTACTGATTCAATGCAGTCGGCACCTTCGCCCTACATAGAATGATCAAGTAACTACAAAATTAAATGCAATCTAATACAAAATGAATGCATTTCAAAATACAAAAGGAATGCACTACAAAAGAATGAATGCATCACAAAATTAATGCACTATCGAATACCACTGATTCAATGTAGTCGGCTCCTTCGCCCTACATAGAATAATCGCATAGCTGCATAAAGAAAACAGAACGAGTTATTTATAAAACACCGTCTGGGAAAATGAAAAAAAACAGAACGAGTTATTAATGAAACACCGTCTGGGAAAATGGAAAAAAACAGAATGAGTTATTAATGAAACACCGTCTGGGAAAATAGTATGTCAGTCATAAGACTAACACTACGAATTTTTTCCAGCAAAGTTGTAGGAAAAACACAGAACATTCCAGTGATGCCTAGCAAACCTATAAAATAAATTGTACCAAATCAAGTATGAACTTGATGGAAAAGGGAAAAAGGGGACACCTAAAGGTGTAAAAGTACCTACAGATCGAGGAAAGTCGACTGGGAAAAAGTAAAACGGGAAAGTCCGTCTAAAAGTCGCGTCCGTGTAATAGTTCTTAAGACTACAGACTAAACACAAACACCTAAACAAACTTTACAAAATAGTAAATTAAATAGTAATTCCTAAATTTTAACTATTTATACAAACAAAATAAACATTATTACGTTATTAGTAGACTATTGTGGAAGAACAACAGAAGCTAATAAGGAATAAACGTGGAAACAAGGAACTCTAATCCATTAATCTAGTTAATGAATAAAGACCAGAAATAAAGTATTAAGGATCTCCAAAAGTTTATAAGTCTTTTAATAATAAAACGTATAAGACTTGGAAATTTAAAACAAAAGGTTATCTATATAAAATCCTCAAAAATATGAGATCTTATAAAAATAAGAAGACCCAAAACAAACTAAGATAAGATAAGATCCTATGATGCTAGAAGCAAAATCAAATTCTTCAAAAAAGAGTGAAAACATCTAATTGCCAGATAGAATATTATTAAATTAATTTAATTACCAAAAACATGCCTAATGAAGTGATACCAATTTAATTTTTAAAACTGAGATTCTATTTCTCTGCCTTAGGAATCCTCATACATCACCATTCAATATATCCGCAACCTTTTATTCATCCCTCATTCATCACCTTGCAAGCGGATCGTTTCCAAAATGCAAGTGAAAAGAACCAAAGTGAAATTTAGAAAGGGAAAACCGCAAATGTCAACTATCAAAATGAACAAAATGTCTAATTATCTAAGTTATATTTTCAAAATATCTTTAATGTGGTATCTACCAGAACTATTTTTATCAAAATCTTTTAATAAATAAACATTATTTGAAATTTTGTTAATTATTTTGCATTTAACAAATTTGGGTGCTAACTTTGAAGAAAAGAAATGAATTGCGTTGGATTGTACAAAGTTTCTCCTCCATACAATATCTCCAACGTCATAGGAAATGACTTTTCGATTCGAATTATAAAATTTAGCATTCTTTTTATAAGATTTTGCTAAATTATCAACAACTTTAATAAAAATATCTTTAAGTGAATCGGTATAACCGTCAGGTTTCTCAATATTAATATCAAACAAGTCATCTATAGAAGAATATCTATGCAAGGACCCATTCAACATGACTTCACGACCGAACATAAGAAAGTTTGGAGTAAAACTAGTAACCAAATTAACAGTACTATTAATAGCACTTTGAACATGGGGAATGAACTTAGACCATGTTCTATGATCATTTGCAACATAACATGAAATACAGGTTTCTATTGTCTTATTGTCTGAAGTTCCTGCCATGATTTTATCAGTTTGACACTCCTTATCCGTCATAGTGTAAGATTCTTATAAGACTTAAGTTATTTTCTCTATTTCACAGAAAAATATTAAACTATATTGTAAGTTTAACAAAAACTACCAAGTTGTAATGTTTTCCAATAAATTTAAGTTGTTTTTATAAAACTAACATTAATTTAAGGTTAAATTCCAATAATTTTTACAATTATTCAATAAAAATAAGAATTACCAAGAACTAATTCTTGTAAACAAACACTTTATGCAATAAAAGTTATCTCATATCATTGTATACTAAGATTTGCAATGAAAGATTAAGTGGAAATTTATTGACAAATTGAAAAGTTAAATGCAATGTTTATGGAAACCTACAGTTAAATTAAACAATAACAGTTATTCAGGAATATGAATTAACCAGTATAATATCAGAATTAACCTGATACTATATCAAAACATTTGAACTTCAATGTACAAAACTTAAGTTTGACATGTAATAAAACTTGTTATTATGTATTGTTGTTGTAAAAGCAAAGTTAATTTTGCATTGATAATTGCATAGAAAACTGATTAATAGACACTGTGCATAAGTGATTAACAACAGGATTAAACAATTAAACTATTTTCAGTAAACACTTAGTAATAAACACATGTACTTACTTGAACTTATATTAAGTTTACACAATTCTGTAAATGATAGGTTAACACAAATAAATTATGCATGAAACAATATTTATTTCTTGCTGAAAGCTGAAATGCACATTAAATAACAAACAACAATATTATGCAATGACTATTTGCAAATAATTTGTCAAATCTCAAAATATGGTCAAAGAAAGTTGTGTGAATGGTTATTAGCATCACATTTTCTTCTCAGAATCTATTTATTCTAAAATATATTATGTACTAATTACATAATAGCAAATTAGTTTATAATGAAAGTAAAATATGGCTATAAGCTTGCCAAAACAAAGCTTTAAAGCAAAAATGGAAAAAGTTACTCGATGAATGTTATGTGATAATAACATTCAGTTCAAAAGTGAAAAATTAATGAATTTATGTTAAGCAAAATGTGAAAGTTATAATGGATATAGCAAAATAACTATATTTCACTTACAAAGTTACAAAATATCCTAGTCAAAATCCTGTCCCTATGTGAGAGGCGACATTGTAAGGTAAAAAAATTAAAAAAACCGTGTAACTATTTAGTTATTTCAAAACGAAAAAGAGAAAGGCTGGAGGTGGTGGCCGGTTAATGATAGCCGATTTTAGCTTCTCAGCTTCCATTTAAAGTGAGATTTGTAACGGGCGCCGGGAAGCTGGTGATATCTCCAGGTGTCCGGAATAACTTACGGGAACATCAGCTTTTAATCTCAAAGGCAGTTTTTACTAGGGTTGAATGATAAAGGTGTTTTCCTCTTCAATTATTTATTGTGAAAGTGTACATACCAGATTGGATTCCAGGCGTCAAAGTACATTAAGTATTGGATTTACTTAGACTATTATGGCTGGTCCATGGTCAAAGATATCAAAATGATATTTATAAAGATATCATTAAAATTAAAGATGATAAAGACAAGATAAAGAGCTGAAACAAAAGAGACATTTGTGAGACCAGGCAACATGGCTAGATTTATGTATGACAATTTTAATCTTAATTCTTACCTGCAATCGCAGCTCTTTTAAAGTTTTACTATAGGGCTATTGGCACCTATATTAGTTTGCAAAAATGCGATGAGCGCATTTTTGGAAAAAGAAACCGAACTATAAATTATTATTATATTTCACATTTTTAAAAAGCGACTGTTCGTTTCTGCAAAGAATCGAAAAGTAATGTTGCCAGGTCGCACTTCCAAAAACGCCGCGAGTCTCAGTGTTGGCGCATTAAAATTTAAATTTGGGCATGGACAAACCATAAATTACAAAAGTTTACCTAAATTTAGAATAACAATTATTACGTATTTATTTTAATGTTTTATAAAATTAAGACAATTTGTAAAGATGTGTTTCGTTTATTAAAAAAATAGGGAAAATCCTTAAGTGACGGATGTCAAACCATATATTATTTATTTATGTATGTGACGGCGTAGATACGACGTTACAATATGATATACTTCACTGTAAACAATTTGGTTTTACACGGGGTCGTTCAACAACCGATGCCAGTGTTGAACTTATACAACAAATTTTTGACGCCTGGGAGAACTCGCAGGACGCTCTAGGTGTGTTTTGCGACTTGTCCAAGGCTTTTGATTGCGTTTTTCATGAAACATTCCTTGGGAAACTCCACCACTATGGATTTAGAGATACTGATCTGGATCTTATTGCGTCATACTTGATGGATAGGATTCAGAGGGTTGACATTAATGGCAATAAGTCTGCGGGTTCGCTGGTTAAAATGGGTGTTCCGCAGGGCTCAATCCTTGGTCCTTTCTTATTTTTAATTTATATTAATGACTTGCCTTACTTTGTTAGAGATAAGCATGAGATAGTATTGTTCGCGGATGATACATCACTTTTATTTAAACTCAAACGTAAGGAAACAGTTATTGACGACGTGAACATTTGTATCTCTAAGGTAGTCCACTGGTTTAATGTTAATAATTTATTACTAAATGAAAGAAAAACGAAATGTATGAAATTTGTATTACCTAATGTAAAACAGGTAAAAACCAGTGTGAATGTAAAGGATAGGAATATGGGCCTTGTAGACACCACAGTATTCTTAGGGATTACTTTAGATTGTAAGCTTCAATGGGGCCCACATATTGATAAATTGTAAAATAGACTTAGCTCTCCAGCATATGCCGTAATGAAGATACGCCAGTTAACGGATGTAGATACGGCCAGATTAGTGTACTTTAGTTATTTCCATAGTGTAATGTTGTACATAATTTTATTGTGGGGAAACGCCGCCGACATTCAAACTATTTTTGTGCTGCAGAAGAGAGCTATTCGATCAATTTATAATCTTAAAGTTAAGGATTCCTTAAGAGACAGGTTTAAAACATTTTGGTATAATGACGATCGCGTCACAATACATTTACGAAAATTTATTACTAGTAAGAAAAAATATTAATTTGTTTCTTAAAAACAGTGATGTTCACACACTCAATACAAGAAACAAAAATAAACTAACTTTACCTGCTACTAGGCTTCACAAAATCAATAATTCGTTTAAAGGTCTTTGTGTTCGCTTATACAATAAAGTCCCAAGCAATATCCAAGAGTTAAGCATAAATAAATTCAAAGATAGTATAAAAAAAGCACTTATAAAAAAAGCTTATTACAAAGTGTCTGATTATATTACAGACAAAAATGCTTGGGTTTGAACTGTTCCAATCATTCCAACAGGTTTTCTATATTAAATAAATCATGATTGTATTGACGTTGTAACCACATAATGATTTGTAAATGTTGTTACATTATGCTTTTAATGTTGTGGAGTTTTTTTCGCTCGTTTTTCTCCGCAGCTAAAAAATATGTCTAATAACGAGTGATAAGGAAAAAAAATGTTTTGACGATTCAAAAGTGTTGTACTATATATCCAATTTGAATAAAGATATATTGATTTCTGATTTCTTATTTTACTCAAGAGAATTTAAACTGTGTTGTGCTGTGCTTAAGAGTGAAAAATATAATTTATTTAAAAAAAATGGTGTTTCTTTATATTTACAAAATACCTTCTGATTTCCCTGTTGTAATGAAATACATATCGACAGTGGAAAAACAAAATCGCTTAACCTTCAATCTGCCTGAAAAAGGGTTATATTTATCATTGTGATCAGCTTTTTTCTAAGTTAATCTGTTTATGTTTTGTAAAAAATTGGAGTAATTTTATTTGTCACATATATTCATAATACTGAAGCAATATAAATTTAGAACCACTGTCATTTACCCCCTTCTATTTGGTTGATGTATGATTATGATTTTTACTTGACTAGAAATGCATTTATGGGCTGAGCGATTTCTGCTTAAGCAAAATCTAATTTGTTAATTTCTGATAAGATACATATAATCTTTAAGAGGCAAGTGCTTACTTTGGGCTAGCCTAATTGGTATGTTTTGAATAAAGTAATGTTTATCATTTTCATAGACATTTAGATACTGTTCTAGTTCAAAAACTTATTTATAAACCTTAATCTTGTGCATCCCCCTACAACACTTTTCAAGTTGGGTAGTTTGTAGTTAGTAGTGTATATGTTTCTTCTGTCCAGAGTACAGCATGTTTTAAACATTTCTGTTTGGATAATAGGATAAAAATAAACTTCAGGTCAAAAGTCTGTTTTAATTTTAGGATGATGAGCGTCACTATGTGGAGCTTACAACATTTGGTTTCTTCCAAGGAGGCATTCTTGATGTGAAGATGGTCAACTTCATGCTACCATCATCGGTTCCACATGGAGAGGTAATAATATAGATTTCAATTACCTTCTACAATTTAATGGTCACACTCAGAAACACCAATTAAATGCTTGTCATAACAACATGTTCTTTTATTCTATCACTATTGCATAAAAAGTGACAGTATCACCTTAAGTGAAAGGGCCCTTTCACATTTTTTGCAAAAAAATCGTAATTTTTGAGCGCCTCGTTTACCCTTTTAGAAAAGATTTTGACTATTTCCAATATAAGTAAACAGTAGATTTATTCTTCCTATTGTAAGTTAATGTAGAATATTTGCAACTGTTTTCCTTTTTCTGTACTGATCGTTCTACTGCAGCTATTTTACGGAAAAAACGATAATATGCACAACTTCAAACGCCTAAATCTCTCAATAATGTTCAATAAATTATATCAAATTCATTACTACGACATCAGAAATATGTTTTTGTTGTAACATAATTTTTATTAGAATTTAGATTTTCTATTTCATTAATTATCAAAAAAATAACACTCCGTGAGTTTTCCCAAAAAATAAAGCAGGTTTACCTCGTATTTTGATATTGAATTAAATAGAATTACTATCATCTTTCATAAAACTAATCTACCATCAATGAACTATTGAATTATGTATATATTTTTTTAATTAGGTCATTAATAATTATTTTAAGACTCGAAACATCACCCGTAAAATGCAAAATATATACTAGTGCAAATCTACCTAAGCGCTGATCAGTAAGGCAGCGGTGCAATTTTGTAAAAGGGCTCTTAACTAAAGTAATTGTACTTTTAATAACGACTCGAATTGTAGTCTTACATGAAAGATCACTTATTTTAAGAAATCTTAGACCAGTTGCCCTGAGCCATGTCAAGAGAAGACTTTTAAAGGGCTTTTCCTCTAATAGTATAGATTTATTTAAATCCATGTGACGATACAGGGTGGAGCAAAAGTAATCAATTCCGCTCAGATCAGTCTGATGAAAATCTGTTTGCTTGGAGGATTTTGACGGACGAGAAATATTAATATGTTTAACTGTCATGTTGTGAGGTTAGTTCCTGTTTGAGGCTTGGTTAGAAATTTGTTTAAATATCTTGAATTCGTTAATAGCAATTTGCGCAAATTAATCTGATCACATGACCAAAAATCCGTCGCCTCTGCGATGCAAGTACCAAACATAGCTCATATTGATATTTGTGAACCTGACAAATGCAGAATAAAAACAGACTAGCAGTGGAGCACTATACTTTGCAGGAGCCGGAACATGTGTGGTTTCAACAAGACTGTGTTACCGCACACACAACATGATTTCATTTTGCCTGTTTGGCATGACCAGCAAGTTCACCCGATTTTACCGCCCCAGACGTCTTTCTTTGTGGCGACTTGAAGTCTCGGGTTTATGCTAACAAGTCTCAGACAACCGCAGCCCTTGACGCGTCGTTCTACAGGAATGCGAACTGTAATCACCGGAAATCATGGAATATGCTATAAAACGGGCACAGAGGTGTGTCAACACCGGCGGCTGCCAATTCATGTATATAAGTTTTCTTCTTAGAGGAAAGTAAAATTTAAGGTCCTGATATGGATTTCCGTCACTCAATTTTTTTATTTTATTGAGTAAAAAAGTTATACAACAACAAAATTAGATGATTACTTTTGCGCCACCTTGTATACCATTTGTCAGATCACAGATAACAATACCTTATAAACTCATATTACCATGCCCATTAGAGAGAGAGAGAGCTTTTCATATGTATCTATGTTATAGTGAATCAAATGCCTTATTGTAGTCTACGAAAGCTATGTAATACTTCTTTCCATATTAATTATATTTCTCTATTAGTTGTTTAATTGTGTGAATATGATTAAGCCTACTTGTTCCATTGGTTGATTCTCGTCGAGCATCTTTTTAATATGACACAGTAAGACTTATTTGACATGAGGCTGATGGGTCTATAATTCTGTGTATCCCTTTTGTCACCTTTTTATGTATGAGGATTATTGAAGATGTAGTCCATTGTTTCGGTATTTGCTTTCTTAATATTATTTTATCTAATAGTTCTTTTGATACCTTAATAATAACTTCCGCATATCTTGTCAGCAGCTCTTTAGTTATGTTATCTTTACCTGGTGATTCATCATTCTTCTGTGAGTGGATTGTTTGGTCAACTTCACTTTGTAGGATTAGCGGGATTTCATCTTCCCAATCTTGATCCCTTTGTGCATAGCAATGGTCTGAATATTATCTTCGTATAAATTTTGTAGAATTCCGTTGCAATTTTTAAATACCCTTTCCATCTGTTACATATTTTTTCTTTGTATTGTGTAAGGGTTTCAAGTCTTATTTTATCTGGACGTTTTCTAATACCTGAGTTTATCTGTTTGCTTACAAGTGCTATTTGTTAATTTAATGTGTGTTTTCTTTAGTTCGTCTTCTAATGTATTTTATTTATCTTGAAAAGACTTTATCTGATTAATCTTCTCCAGGGATGTTATTAAATTATTCAGAATTGCATCAGGTAGTGAAGTTCAGATACAGTTCTTATGCTCTTGAATAAGTTTTCTGCTTTTTTTGTACATTGTTTTATTATCGTCCTTCTTACCATTCTGTGGTTGGTATTGAGATTAAGTTGGTTAATTATATCCACATTCTTGAATTCCTTTGGTCACCGGCGGAACCGGTAGCCCTCTATGGTTACCTTTTATTATATAAAAATAATGCCCTTGTCCCTTAACGTGCAGAACTTGAGAACGACTACCGATTTCATCCATCATTTTTTAATACACTTCCGTAGATGGCTCTTAGGAACAATAGTAAGAAACTTGCGCATAAAATTTTTGAAATCTTAAACTACAACTTTACCCGAAGATTGCGCTGCAGTCGGGTTTTGGGATTTATCAAATATTTTAATTTTGCAGGGAATCTGTCGAGTCCACTAGTTTAAAGACAAAACTGTTTTAAATTATACAATAATTTTGGTTTTTATTATCTCCTATAGTATGGATTCACACTGGACCGTACTGTAAACGATGCTATTAACCCCTACCTGGAGTCCCACTCGGACACATGCTTCCTGAAGGATGTGGACAGCATGGGAATTACGCCTCAGCACACTGCCATAGTTTTCCTTAAACTGGACTTTGTCAACTCGAGGTAAGTAAGTTATAAACAGTTATGACCACTTGCAATTAAGTTTTAATAATATTTAAAACATTTATTCCATCTTTAGAAAAGTAGGGCATTGCGGATTTACCACTCGAATTGGAGCGCCCGTCTGGGTAAATAACCTCCACCTTACAGAATACCACAGTATCGGTGATTAGGGTCAGGGTAGGCAACGGCGCGGGTGAAAATTGGTTGTATCGCAAGCGTCTATAGGCTATGGTGGCCACTTACCATCAGACGGGTCATATGCTCGTTTGACTCCTTTTTAACATAAAAAAATCTGTGTCCATTTTAAAATCCAAATATAAATAATATTAAGTATATATAGTAAAAGTTAAATGGCAAAGTTGTAGGTAATAAAAAGATCTACAACTTTTGTATGGACACTTTTTTCACATAACCTTAAAATTTATGTGAAAAATGCGAATAACCGAGTTTTTGGTTTTTGATTTTTATTTTTTGCAAAAAAAAATATTTTTTCACGAAATTTGGTGAAAACTTACCTTTGTATGTCCCAAACATACAGTAATTTTTTTGATTTAAAATATTCATTTTTTCACCTTATTTTGACTTAATATCGAAAAAGCACCCTTATTTTCAATCGAAAATTCTCACGTCAAAATATCTGTTTTTTTAAAAAAGTTGGGGTGTTTTTTGTTTGTTGAAATCTCTACTTTCTGATGGTATAAAAAAAATATACACTACTATGGTAAATGCTCTCAGAAAGTGCAAATTAATAATGAAAAAAACTCCAACCCGAAAAATTTATTTGAATCATTATGTATAATTTTGAACTATTTATTAAAATTTACACTTTAATTACTCGAAAAACGTAAGATTTCATGTTATATTGATAAACAGAAAAATTACAAATCCATAAAACATGCAAAAATAGTTGTTGTAAGTAGGTATTAAAAATAGGATTTTCGGATTCGAGTTTTTTTCATTATTAATTTGCATTTTCTGAGAACATTTATCATAGTAGTGTATATTTTTTTTATACCATCAGAAAGTAGAGATTTCAACAAACAAAAAACACCCCAACTTTTTATAAAAGCAGATATTTTGACGTGAGAATTTTCGATTGAAAATTAGGGTGCTTTTTGGATATTAAGTCAAAATAAGGTGAAAAAATGAATATTTTAAATCAAAAAAATTACTGTATGTTTGGGACATACAAAGGTAAGTTTTCACCAAATTTTGTGAAAAAATATTTTTTTTTGCAAAAAATAAAAATCAAAAACCAAAAACTCGGTTATTCGCATTTTTCACATAAATTTTGAGGTTATGTGAAAAAAGTATCGATACAAAAGTTGTAGATCTTTTTATTACCTACAACTTTGCCATTTAATTTTTTTTCATAGGACTTGCAGTTTTTAGTTAAATCGAGATTAACCATTTTTTACCCTTAAAAACTCACCCCCTCCCCCTTCCCGACCTCAGATCGCCCGTAATTTATTTTTCCTTTCATTTTTATATTCATTATTATATTCTCTACCTTTTCTAATGGGTTTCATCCTACAATAATTTTTTTTCACTTTTCACCATTTTTAAAATTATCGACCCTGGTCTAATATCAAAACAGATCTATTTAGCTTAACTCAGCTAACGCATGAATTGCAAATCATTTTTTTTGCAGACTCAATATCACATGCAACGGCGATGTGTCAGCCCTTCATCTCTATCAAAATAGGTCGATGATACCGATCGACAGGACGAAACGCCAATCCCAGTACATGTTCATAAACAGAAGAAGGAGATCTGGTAATTGTATTAAATGAAAATTATCTTTAACTGTCGTATTATGTTGAAAGATTCTTATTATCAAGATCAAGAATCTTTTTGTTCAATTATCAAGTATGATATATTTTTTAGTTTTACGTTTTATGCAACTATATACAAAACACTTATAGAATTAATTTTTTAGCACCATCTAAATCGACTGATGCAGCGCCACAATGCTCGTATGCAAACTTGCAAATAACTAATATGTCGCGTAATGGATACGACTACTACAATGCTAGCGTAAGTTTGAACCTTAATAAATTATGTTTTAAAAGTGCAGCCAACCAACAATGATACATGAATAACATCTTTATTGACGCCTCAAATGTATTGCTGATATGACTGTCTTAAGTCCTGGATGTAATTTGTGATATTCATAGGCGTAGCTAGGGGGAAGCAATGGTGGGCAATACTCACAATACACAGTGTTTTATAGAACCAAAAATATTTACACCTTAAGGTTTTTGCATAAATCAATTATTTAAACCCTAATAAAGGCAAGAGTTTAATTCCCAGATCACTATTTTAAGTAAAAAAAAAGATATGAAGTAGCAAAGTTTTTGAAATTTGCACATGAAAAAATTAACAATTTAATTTCCTCAAAAGACGGTTCCATATCTGTCCATGAGATATTTGCCAATTGCTAAGGAATTATTGATGGCATAATTTTGTAATTTTATTTTATTTATAAGTGTCCTAGTTTCCAAGAAATATAGTTTTTTTAAATTTCGAATTTTTATTTTTTTCTCCAAAAATCGGCAAAAGTGGAACCTGGATTTAGTACAGAAAGGTTCTATAAGTCAAGTTCTATCACCCATAAAAAAATGAATGTTTCACTTTTGCGGTTTTAAGAAGTTATGACAGAATTTAGATAAAGGTCAACTTTCATGATCTAGGGTTGTCACAAAGGTCAACTATGAGTTAAATGAAAATGTGTTTTTTTTTTGTTATTAATACCGTCAATCAATTGAATAAATTATATTATATTATAATTGAATAAGTGTTGTACTTATAGACGAATACAATATACTTACATATACTACCTACCTAATGTAGATGTGATAATGTAGGAATTAAAGTATTCCTACATTATCACATCTACATTATGTTCTATGTTTTAATTTTGACGACCACATTTTAATTTTGCCTTACACGCTAAATGGCAACGAAAAAATAAACTATGTTGTTTGAAAAAATTTAACACACATCCTATACTATAAACGAGCAATTATTGTATGTACCTATATAAATATATTGGTATGTAATTGGTTTCTCGGAAACGGATCTAACGATTGTGATGAAATTTTGGATTTAGAAATTCATTCACATTTAAAATCAATCTAGGATAGTGTCATCACCTGCCGGCACCTTCTTTATGCAACACCTCTACTTTAACTTTTATACAAATAAATCATCTTCGTTTAATAATTCTAGGTTGCTTTCATTTGCGACGTTCGAAAAATCTTCATCTTCAGCATCTTCCTCTGCTTCGAATAACGGCAATCGATCTGCATCAATTGGTTGTAAGAGCTCGCAAGCAGCTGGAGGCAAGGGAAATCACTTAGAATATTTTCGACGTTGGCTGATATTTGCCATAGAAATAAACGGGTCTGATGATTCTAGGGCACGGTGAAAGAGGTCCGTCATTGTGGTTCTCCTGTTCATTTTTCGGCAATGATGCTCTCTGTCTGAACGCTAGAATTTATTTCGGGACTCAGCTGCTTGTTCAGATAGCATACCGATGGGCAGTGCACTGGACGCAATAATTTCTTCACCGTGCATGAGGATTTTATGACCTGTTACTGTCATCGGGTGCCAACTATAAAAACGGACATATTTTTCAACCCTAGATCATGAAACCTTGACCTTTATCAAAATTCTGTCATAACTTCTTAAAACCGCAAAAGTGAAACTTGATTTTTTTATGGGTGATAGAACTTGGCTTATAGAACCTTTCTGTACTAAATCCAGGTTCCACTTATGCCGATTTTTGGAGAAAAAATTTAAAAATCGAAATTTAAAAAAAACTCTTGGAAACTAGGACACTTATAAATAAAATAAAATTACAAAATTATGCCATCAATAATTCCTTAGCAAGTGGCAAATATCTCATGGACAGATATGGAACCGTCTTTTGAGGAAATTAAATTGTTAATATTTTCATGCGCAAATTTCAAAAACTTTGCTACTTCATATCTTTTTTTTACTTAAAATAGTGATTTGGGAATTGAACTCTTGCCTTTATTAGGGTTTAAATAATTGATTTATGCAAAAACCTTAAGGTGTAAATATTTTTTGTTCTATAAAACACTCGGTGTCAACCCTAGCATAAAAATTGAAAAATTAATATCTTCTAAACGCCGCAAAAGTGAAACGTGGCTTATTTATGTATGATAGACCACATCCGTAGGTTTATTTCTATCTAAGTTCTAGGTTCCACTTTTTCGTTTTTAGGGAGAAAAAACAATAAATACGAAATACAAAAAAAAAATGCTGCTCCGAAACCAATGCATTTTTTTAAGCTAAAGAAACGCGTTTATACGCCTCTGATTATGCCCAATTGACACATATTTATTAAAACAATATATTGTTAATATTCACTTCATAAAAAAATATTCTAGATTTCATAGGTCAAAGGTCACGATAAGTTCATGATTTTTTTTTCTCAAAAAGTATTTGAGTTAGACTTCTGTAAATTGAACTCATGCCTTTTTTAGGTTATAAATAATCTATTTATGTAAGAACCTGGACACGTAAATTTTTTTGGTTCCATAAAACACTGTGCAATAGAAACCTCTTCCCACACTAAAATTGGAGTGTTCAAAAAATACTTTAAAGTTTAAGGAATGAATGTTAGTTTGAATGGACGACTAACCCGGATAGTTTCAAAGCATTTTGTTGTAGTAAGTATTCTACCGCTATTATTTTTGAAAAACTTTATCAACCTTACTTATGAAAAATTATGTAAAGACAGCAGCAAAATTCCTAATAAATAAAAAACGATTCCCTCGCGTTTTTCATTCCACACTTTTAATTTAGAATCGTTGATTTGGCTTTTTGTTCATTATTGTCATGTTATTGTTAACGGTAGGCATACTTGAATTAAACGGCATTTGTGTAAATTAACGCTTGATATAGGTACTTCGTGCATACAATGAAAGTGATAATAAAAGGTTTGATTACCTAAAATATTGCAAATATTTTTTAATGCAATGTGCTAATAAACAAATATGTGTAGTTAAGATACTATTACACGTCATCATGCCACGTCCTATTCCTTTTAAAAGATAATCTAAATGGATTAAATAACCCTAATTCTATATTTAATTTACCGAAATTCGACCAAATTAGTATAAAACATATCTTTCACAGTTCGCTATGCTCGTCGCGTCACAGAAAGAAGAAGGTCTTTACAATTTATACTTCCACAACTGTCCACATCAAGGTAAAACAACCGTTACACCTGTTAATACAGTGGTAAGTCCAATGTAACCTTGGTATACCTTTTCTCAATTATTTACAATATTATTATTTAATCATCAAAAGCGATTCTTGAACAATCATTCACAATGAACAGAACGTTTATTAAAACAGCTGGTCAAAGATTGATTTTCTTGGACCATCTGTTAGATATTGTTGAACTTTATACTTTTCCAATAGTGCTTGTAATAGTCTGTTCAGATTTTATCAGAGTCTGAAGTTGAGTCGTAAACTGTGGCCAACTAACTTTGCTTAGTTGTAGAATCTATAATTTACTTGTATGGATCTGGATTGCCCCGAATATATTTATTTAAAGGCTATTGGACGGGACTCAACGGTGTCTGAGGCGGAGGTGCGACCGGATAAACAAAGCAATCCGTTTACAATCAAAGTAGGCTAAAAAACGTGTCCTTACTCGTCGCTGAAAACGGCTTGCTTTGTTTATCCGGTCAAACCTCCGCCTCAGACGCCGTTGAGTCCCGCCCAATAATTACTCCAGACGGGGGTAGCAATCTAAATAAAAAATTTAGTAGTAGACATTCGTCCCAAGTCTTATTTTAGTAAAACTTGTAAGACTAAAGCGCATATTCCACCTGACTAAATTCAGACGTTCTTAATCATTCAGTAACTAATTCAATTAAGTGAAATAGCATTTAGGAAGTTAGGATCCTAATTAGCTTCCTAAATTTATTTATTTATTTATCTTTAACAAAGTTTCTACAGCGGTTTTTGTGAAATTTAATACAATAAAATATAGATATAATCTTAAAGCCAATTACAGAAACTCATTACGTACACATTAGATATTAACAAATTACAAATTCTTTATTTGATAACGGCGTTATTATATGTCAGTAATTATTACATTTAATTTAATTTAATTTTAATAATTGCATAAAAATCATATAATTCATTAACATAAAAATAAAATAAAATTAAGATTGGACAAAAACATAACAAAAAGACAAAAAAGAAGAAAAACAAACACTGAATATCCATATAAAAAGGTTTTCAAGAGTTTGTCACATGATAACCTTATGAAATGTGAGTGGATGTCTGTGCGCGTATGTATGTGTGTTTGTGTGTGTGTGTGTGTGTGTCCATGCAGCTGCAATGCTATGCCTGGTAACGAGATGGCGGACGCCGCAACCCGGGCACTACATCATTCAAGTAGGTACTTCAGTGTGAGTGCTTGTAATTGTAGGCCTACAAGGCGCTAAGAATAAAATGAAATAAATTAAATTGAAATTGAAACAAAACAAATGTCAGGGAAAATTATTTAAGCCGTAAAATGCAGTGCAGTCATTTTTCATATTATTGAGAATACGAATTGATAATTATAAATAAAAATAAAAATTCAAATAAATTGTATAAATTAATAATAATAAAATAAATAATAACAAAAGCTTATTTGGGTCTTGCGGTTATAATTTCAAATAATGTCGTTTTAAAAGCAGCTCTGGACAAAGAGAACAGGTCGATATCAGAGAAGTACTTGTTGTACGTTTTTGGCAACCTTACCGTCATATCGTTAGCCTCGTAATTTGTACGCACAGATGGTACATGAAAAAGTTGCGTGTGGCGTGTTCTTTTTGTAGGAGCCTTTAAGGAAACTATTCTATTTATCAACTCGGTGCAGTCCAGTACTCCAGAACATACATCGAACAAAGTCATCATGTCCCGCATGCGTCGCCTGTCACCAAGAGTAATGAGACCGTATATGCTACATGACTCCCCATAACCATTGGATTCATTTTTGACTCTAAAGTTTAAATATTTTACGAATTTCATTTGTATTCGTTCAATGGCGTGTTCGTGTGTTATGTACTGTGGATTCCACACGGTGCTACAGTACTCAAGAGTACTTTGAACATAAGCATAATATAATACTTTCATGCAAGCAGCGTCCTTGAAATCCTTCGTAACTCTGAAAATAAATCCTAAATTTTTATAAGCCCTGGTGGTTATATCGTTAAAATGATTGGCGAATGTTATTTTTGAATCCAAAGTTACCCCTAGATCCCTCACAACATTCTCTTGAGTCACTACTTCATTATTAAGTTTGTAATTGCACAGAACAGGATTTTTGCGTCTTGTAAACATAATATGCACGCATTTTGCCGTATTAACTGTTATCCTATTTCTTATGTAATACTCTGAAAGTCGGTCCAGGAGGCCTACTCTATTTCAACGAAAAACGAAATTTCGATCGAAATTTCGCACGTTCCCTACTCTGTTTCCTTTTCATTTCGAAAATTCGTTCGTCCGAAATATTTTAACAATTAAATTCTCCAAGCCTACTCTAATTCACAAAACTTTCGAAGGAAAGGTTGAATTTGACAGATAATTGTTCGAAATTTTGACCTCAAATCGACGAAATGGAAAGTGTTACCTTTTCATTTTCGTTTTGAGATTTTTGTATTAATTAAGCCTAAAATACTTGCAAGAGTATTTTTAATAATAGCTGCTTAGCTCGAGAAACATTTTTAGCATGTAAAATTAACAAATAAACCATGTTTTTATTATTTTTTGTAATTTCGATACTTCAAAGTATTAAACGACAAATTGAGGTTGACATACAGTAGATTGTATCGACTCTACAAATTAGTCAGCTAACACTGTCAAAGAAGGTTCTTTCAATGTCATCAAAAAATTTGCCGTAAACTACCTATATTGTTTCCAAGTAAAAAAACGTTTTCTTAAAAGTAGAGAAAAAAAGAACTCAAAAACATGACTCATTCCATTCGTTCACGAAAACTGTTTATGGTTCCGAAGTTAATGTGCCTGTTCGAAAATGAAATAGAGTAGAGACACTGGCGAAATTTCGTTTGAAATGCGTTCGTTACCGAAATTTCGTTTCGGAGAAAGAGAGTAGAGCTCCAGATCTTCTTGCAATTTCAAACAGTCATCATATGATTCGACTTTCATATAGATTTTTGTATCATCAGCGTAGAGCAAGAACCTAGCATGCTTAAAACATGAAGACATGTCGCTTATATACGCTATATAGAATAGAGGACCGAGTAACGAGCCCTGCGGCACGCCTGACGTTATATTGACATAGTCAGAGCGAATCCCGCCGATCACAACAGCCTGTTTACGATTAGATATGTAAGATTTTATCCACCTGTACAAATCCCCGCGTATTCCCAGTTGATAAAGCTTTTGCAAAAGAATGATGTGATCCACGCGGTCGAAGGCCTTTTCAAAGTCCGTATATATTACATCCACCTGTGAACGATAGCCCATGTTACGATGCAGTTCACTTATACACAAACTTAAATTTGTAGTTGTTGATCTCCCCTTGATGAAGCCGTGCTGTTCGTCGGGTATGCCTTGCTTTAAGATTGGATATGTTTCCCTGTAAACAAATTTCTCCAGAGTCTTTCCGAAAACATTCAAAATGGAGATAGGGCGATAATTCGCAATTTCGCGCTTGGAGCCCTTTTTATGGATTGGAACAATGTGCGCTTCTTTCCACTTAGACGGAAAGACTCCTTCTGAAATAGATTTATTGTAAATTAATAATAAAGGGAAAGAAAGTGCCGCTGCACATTTTTTTGTAAAGAAAGGAGGTATTTGATCGCTACCAGCTCTCTTACAGGGGTCCAAGCCAGCGAGTTGCTTGTAAACCTCATCTTGAGTTACAGAAAAGGAATGAACTGAATCGCGTGAACTAATCGAAGGAAGTCCCTCGTCCGAGTAACTCCCTGCTGGGTGAACAAACATTCGTTCGAAGTAATTGTTGAAGGCCGCGCAGATGGTAGGACCGTTCGTCAACTGCTTATTGTCATACGTCATTGAACCAGGGTATCCCGTATTACGCTTACGCTTCGAATTAATATATGACCACAGTAATTTAGGGTTAGACTTTATGTTACCCTGGCAAAGAGTTATATATCTTTGATAGCAGTGATCTTGCATGACTTTAGCTCTTCTCCTCAGCAAAGAAAAAACGTCATAATCTATCGGGTTATTATACCGTTTCCAACGATGATGGGCACTCTTTTTCTCCCCCAGCAAACAGATGAGAGCACGACTATACCACGCTGGGTATCGATTAGATAAATTAGTATCAACGGTGGGAACGTACCTATCTATAACATCGTTTAAAATTGAGTAAAATCCGTTGACCGCCTCATCGACAGTGCCCGACTTCAGCACACTCCTCCAATCAACACTCTCCAATTCCATGTTAATGGCGTTGTAGTCTGCCTTGCGAAACAGATATTTTTCCCTTGAACATTTTGGCACACAGTTTACAAATATATCGCTCGCATCGATATCGAGAGTGGTGTGCTGAACGTCCTCCTTTACCAGCGTAAAGGCTGAGAGACGAATGCCCACGTCAAAATTACTGAAGAACAGGTCAAGCGTATTTCCCACGTTATTCCTGTACGTGTTACGCTGGTGAAGTCCCAGAAAACACGCTTGATTTACTAAGTGCGCCCCCGCGTTTTGAAGATCGATGCATCCTTTTTTTAAATGTATAGGTCCAGAATAATCCCACGTAATATTAAATAGATTAAAATCGCCAGCCAATATAAAAAAGTCATTATTAAAATTACTAGCGATGTCGGTAATTAAATTTATGCAATTGTAAATTAAAGACGGTAATTTGGGCCCCGGCGCCATGTAAGCCAGCGCTATGTGCAGATCGTGTTCTAAGTTTATTGTGCGACCGTCCAAGGTCACCCAAATGCATTCAACGTCAGCGCGTTGCCACTCAGTGCGGGCTCGAGCGTTCAGTCGTCAATTGCACATAATCATGACACCACCACCGTGAGATCCGCGGTCGCGGCGAAATATCTCGTACCTGCAATTTGATAATTCTGAATCCAAAATGCCGTCATTCAACCAAGTCTCAGTTATAAGAATAATGTCGTGATCCATTCGAAGTAAATTATTGTAAAATTCTAATGTCTTGGTACGAAGACCACGAACATTTTGATATAAAATGTTTAGCTTACGTCCCATATTTTGAGATCTTTACTGTGAACCGTGCTTTTGATCAGTAATGAAAATTTCCAAAGCAAGTGATCTGTTTTTAATAATAAATAAATAGCCGTGACAGCATTTAGGCACAGTGTGTAAGCTGCAAAATAATTTCGCACATTATCACACGATAAATAATTATATACAATAATGGAGGTATTTGTGTTGATGTAAAGTGTAATAAGCTGTTTGTATGTTTTATGAGTATTTGGTAAGTATAAAGTGTTATCATGTGACAAACCGAAAGTCAAGCAATAAGTTAGGGACAGAAATTCATTACAGAATGATATGTTAATACTATTTAAATTCCTTTGATTATTTATTAGGTAATTTTGCTCAAATCCTCCTCGCAAGATATCAGAATGTATGGCGATTTTTCGGCTTTCCTTGTATAAATTCGGCAGTTTTTTGTCCATACAAATTTATTATTGAAATCTTTAGCTTTCGCCTTGCAACTACTTAATAACTGTTTATTTTTTACAGTTAGATGTTCGTTAATATATATATTACTGGATTCGCCATCCATTCCAATATCCTTTGAGGTAATTTTACCACATTTACGTGAAGCTGACAAAACCGTATCCTTTTTATTTCGATTGTGAAAGCGAATAACCAGATTACGTGGCTTTCCCTTGACTTGTCTCTTCATCTGAACACGATGGACGAAATCCAGGTCTTGGTGGTTAATTGGCACGTCTAGATGTTTAGCGATACTATCGATTATGTCAGGCAGGGATTCCTCACTGGTCTGGTACGCCGGCAATCTCAATATTTTGCAGTCTTGACCACTGCTCTTGCTTTAATGACACCTCTTCCATACTACACACATCAAAAGTGTCTAGGGATCAACATATATTTTTGCAATAACTTTTCTCCTGATTGATATTAATTAAAATTTTCTTTAAGGATTCATCAAATAAAGTGTTTTCGTTTGTCACAGTAACGATAAACCAAGTCACCTTTGCATTAATAAAGAAATTTGCCATTTTCCTAATAAAGGGATTTTTGACATTTGAACCACTAACACAAAAGTTCGAAAAAAAGACTGAAATAACAGTTTTCTCTAAAATTTTATTGGGTAACTTAAACAATTAATAATCCGTATTTCTACCGCGAACACTAACAACACAAGAACATCGGTTTGGCATACTCAAAATGAGTTCATCCAAATCACGCTGTGGAATGGCCGCCCATGTTCGTTGCAACAACAAAAAAAGGTCTTCTTGCGACTGGATACCCTCCATATTCGGCAGAGCTCTTCTCTGTAGCATATCCCATGCATGCTCAATCGGGTTCAAGTCTGGCGACTGAGCAGGTCAGGGCAGGACATTGATGTTAGCTGCGGCGAGAGTCTGTCTTACAACTCTTGCGGTGTGCGGTCGTGCATTATCATGCATTAACTGAAATAAGGGACCGATTTGCACTTGTAGAGGAACGATGACGTCTGATACAATCGTCTCAGCATAAATTTGAGCGTTGAGGTTGCCTCTGATCCAAATCAACTCAGTTCTTCCGCCGATCCAAATACCCGCCCATACCATGATGGTTCCACCACTATAAGGATGGACTTCCTGGCAGGATTTTAATCGCTGTTGGCGTCCAGGGGTTCTCCAGTGTCGTATACGTCTTGTATCCGGTCTCATACCAAAACGAGACTCATCAGAAAAGCACACGAAACGCCATTGTTCTTCTGCCCAATTTCTGTGTTCAAGAGCCCATTGATATCGAATCCTACAATTGTGCATTGCTATAGGTGGTACCCGTAGCGGTCTTCGGGAATGAAGGTTCACTTCATGCAAGCGGTTTCTGACTGTTTGGTCGCTAATTAAGTTCCCTGAAGAGTGATGAAGCCTCACGGCTAACATCATGGCGGTTATTGTTGGAGCTCTTCGAGTTAAGATTTGAATGTATCGGTCTTGTCTCCGTGTGGTGCAGCGATACCGTCCTCCATGGCGCTCAGCCACGGTACCAGTGCTTCGGTATCGTGTCCAAAGTCGACTGATAACACTCTGACTTGTATTCAGAGCTAAAGCCACAGTACGTTGCCGGGAACCAGCTTCTATCATTCCCACGGCTCTGAGCATTTCTTCCCTGCTTAAATGACGTCGCCGCTCCATAATAACGTTGGTTTTAATCAGTAGTAGGGAAACAGTAGCACTAATAATGTCTTCAATGCGTTGTATGTTTTTATAGGGAAAATATTTACAGCTGATTTTCATCTTTTACTCGAATTTGATTCACAGTTCCTGATTCAAATTATGAAATGCACCAAAAAGGATCCATATAAATTTATAAAATCATAAATTTATTACAAAGCCACATCTCAATCTCAAGAAATCCGCATAAAAATGCTTGATCCCTAGACACTTTTGATGTGTGTATTTACCTTACTTTGGAGCAATTTTATTTGATTATTGAGGTTATTAGTATCAGCCTGCAACTTCTTTGTAGTAGCTGTGCTTTTATCAACCGTGGTTTTAATAGAATCATACATATCGCTTACAGTTTTGACAGATTTTTCAAGATCAAGGAATTTGTTTTCTAATGCTTTTGATACGGCCTCAGTAACTTTTTCCAAAAAGCTGGGTAACTCACGGCGAAACGCCAGCTCAAATTCAGCTCTTATGGCACCCAAGATATCATTCGACTTTTCATCTGCTGCACAGCTACTGTTGCTGCTTGCTGATGTCCGACGAGTACGAGTTTGAGTATTTACAAAGTCATCATTGCAGCTCATGGTCACTTTTACCGGTGTGTCGGTGTTGTCTCCGTGACGCTTTTGTTTTGCTTTACATTCCGGACACACCCAAGTAGTTAGCAAGGATGGATTATTACTCTTAACAGCAACGCAGGCTCGGTGATACTGGAGCGTGCAAGATGAACTGGTGCACGTTACAGCACTCTCTTTAGCTTTTATAGAAATAGCACAGGCACTGCACTTCACAACCATTGTAAGGGCTATCTAGAAGCTGAACTTTTTTCGGAAGAAGTGTGGCTTCTGGCTGACTAAATCATTTAGTATCCTAATTAGAAAGCGATTTAGGAACGTGTGATAGGGTTGAGATGCTTTAGTCGCACCGCAGGCGTCGCTGCGTGAGGACGTTATTTTGTCTACGATTACGCAAGTGCTCAATGTCGGCGGTTTAAGAAAAATAAGTTATGAGTAACATAATCGAATTGTATAAACACATGCCGTATCTTTGGAAGAAAAACGATAAAAATAACATTAATAATATTAATATTCTTTCACCCACGTTTTTCGTTTTTAACTTTATTTTATTTTTATTGAGCCAACGGCCAGGCCTACGAAAAAACCGATTTTTTGTTGCTTTGACAGGACTGGAGCCATTAGGAAAAAGTCCGACTGAATTCCCCGCGCGCTTGCAACTGACTAATCAGTTACTAATTTAGTCAAGCGTAATCAGAAGCTTGTAATTAGCTTTATTTTTAGGATCCTAACTACGACGTCTGAATTTAGTCAGGTGGAATACGTTCAGGTGGAATAGCTCCTAGCGTAATCTGAACGCACTAATCTTTTGTGTTTGAAGTAGCTTACTTAATCCTTACTTATCGATTGTGACACATGTCCTTAAGCTAAGGCTATACTATAGGTGTCATACTTCGTGACAAGTAGTGATGAGCCGGATCGTCGAAAATGTAGATCCGCGGATACGGATCTGAATACAGATATTTGGTGTCAAGATCCGCAGATACGGATACGGATACGGATCTTAACTTTCTTACACATTCGGTGTCGGTGCGCGCGATCCTGAGTTGAGACATGTTTCGACTTGCATTGCGCGGCGGGTTTTTTTGTTTTGTTTTAGTTTAATGTGAAACTGGGCAGCATAGATAACGCTTCCAACAAGTATTCCAAGTGAGCAATTTTTTAGTGCAGCAGGAATTGTTTATGATCCTCATCGTAACAGACTTTTGGGGGACAAAGCTGCTAAGTTACTCTTTTTGAAGTATAATTTACCATTACTAAATTTCAATTATGACTTATAATTTTTTTAAGTTCCACTAATTGTCATTGTGATTTTTATCTAACATTAAAACTGTATGTGTCACGCAGTACTAGTTTACTTGATTAAAAAAAATCGAATTTAAAATATTACGAAGATCTAAGTTTTGTTTTCTTAATAAAAAGTGATCTTATAACTTTTTATAATATTGATCTCATTAAAAAGCTAGTTGATTTAGTACCTTGTAGTTATATACTATTGGTATGATAATGATAACTAACTACGGCAAAGTTTGCAACATAGAGAAGCCAAATATTTGATTTTAAGAAATAAAAGAATATCTGTATTGAATTTAATAGTTTTTATTGCTGCCTAATCACCTATTTAAGGCAAAGAGTAAGGCGCACTAGCGACGCCAATTGCTTTAAATTGTTAGCTACTAAACCAGATCTATTTCAAATAATTGTGGACCGTCAGAATCTCGGCAATTGGCGTCGCTATTGCGCCTTACCCTTCGCCTTTAAGAATGTTATATATAAATTTTAAATTAATAAGGTAAATAGATCCGTAAAAGATCCCCCAAAAAGTAACGGATACGGACACGGATACGGATCTTTCTTCTGCCTCGGATATCCGCGGATACGAATACGGATACTGATTTCCGGCACATCACTAGTGACAAGCTATGTAATATGGAAGTATTTTTTTATATCCCTAAAGCTGATCTATATTATGCAGTGTACCAAGTGCGATACCAATACTCCTATTCACTAGCAATAAATTGGGCCTTTACTGAGCACCCTTAGCGCCAGTGAGTAAATCTATATTTTTCTTTACAGATTGAAATATACGAAAGTAATAACGGCGACAATTTTCTGTCGGCTGGCGAGATGCCCTTGCCGGCACTCTACAGCATGATGTCTATGATATTCTTCTTGAGCGCTGGTTTCTGGACTTTCATATTACGCACGAGCAAACACCCTGTATACAGGCTAGTATATCACAAGGAAAAATTTACAGCAGTATGCCAGTACCTAGAAAAGAAAGACCAGGGGTGTTATAGTATTGTTCTTAAAATTAATATCTTCAAAATATAAAAGCAGAAACTGTCTTTCACTGTCTGACTGATATATCAACGCACAGCCCAGACCGCTTAGTCTAGAGACTTTAAATTGGTGGATACCATAATGGCACGTAGGTTCCTTATGAGGTCTAGGGGTGCACTAAGAAAGGATTTTTCAAAATTCACCCCCGAAGGGGTTTATATAGAGGATAAAAGTTTGTATCAAAAATCTTATTCCTTGAGATAATAGACTTGGAACTTGCCACGAATACTTATCTATATAAATTATAAAGTTTTTTATTTATAGTTTTCCTAAATTACTCCCTCAAGGGGATTTTTTTTCGTCCTTCCCCTCACCCTTTACCCAGCAGGCGCGGTCTGCCTATAGATGTTTGACATTTGTCAGAAATCGAATAATGAGATTGCATCTCACAGAATACCTATTATGTACCCGTATAAAAGCACATTTATATAGAAATACATATTAAACGTCCATGACTAGAGTACAAATTCAATTCAAGCTCGCATTCATCACACAAACATCTGCCGCCACCGGGATTCGAACCCGGGACCTCTCGAGTCGGCGACACCATGAAACCCAGCGTACAAACCACTCGGCCACGGAGGTCGTCAAGGTGTCGAAGTTTTTATATGGATAAATTTTCACGCGCTTTTCGATTAACTCGAAATGTGGTATTTTTACTAAAGACTACAAATAAAGAATATCGCGTACCGGAGATTTTCAATTCGAGAAAAATAAAGGTCACACGTGACGTTGCATTAGCTGTGGCTTCTTCGGGAATTGCCGCAACACTTGCAAGGCCGGAACGCACAATCCGCCTTAAAGTTGACAAATGTGGAAACTCCATTGTGTAATATTTCAGAACAGCAAATTTGCAGAAGTATTGAATTTGCAGAAATACTAAAATTGTCTGGAATGAAAGTATTATCGCCGATAAAAAAGCGTGTCTTAAAAGATCAGCATTGTGGCCGTCAGTTAAACTTTTAAAAATTAATAAAATATATAACATGAGAATCCATCCTTTAGCTAAAATTATGTAAAGGTGATTACCCAGAAAAATATGGTATGATATATATCTGTCCCTTCCGATCCGTGCTCTTCAGAAAAACCAGATGAAAATCTGATTTCATAAATTATCCAACGTTGCGCTCATCACAGAAAAATAAAAGTGGATATGTGAAAAAGCAATACTAACCCCAAAGATCGACCAAGCAGCGGTCATTAATGACATATTACTTAACTCCTTTGAAGGACACTTCAAAGGAGTGGGTTATACACAATCTATGACAATAGATACTGTGGTAAACACTGACGTCAATTGTATACGAGAGAGAAAGAGAGAGTTTGATTTCGGTGTGAAAGAGACATACACTAACACGTGAAGCACCGAGCGCAGACGAGGAGTGATAATTTTTGTAGCTATTAAAATTTAATTAATTAGCAATACGATAGAAAACGCCATAATAGTGACGCAATCTTGTAAGTTTTAAGGGACACTTACCTGAAATACGACACTCCATGTTTTAAACTGTAGACCTGGTGTCATTTACACAGTTATTACGCCTTGGCCACGTAGGCGGGCTAGGCTAAGCGCGGGTGCGGGTGACTTCTGCGGGTGCGGGTGACATGCCACGTACATTCAGTAGCGGCTACAGCGGCTGACTAAAGTGGACGTATTGAGGCTGGCTCTAACTAAAGTGATGTGTAGTTGCCTTGACAGCAGTTCGTATTTTATGGCGAATACTATACTATATTTGTATCTACTTATTAGTAATTACGTATTATCTAATAAAACTTATTGACCTGATCTTATTTATTTAATTACATAGTCTTTTAATTACTTTTTTATACTTGTGTTATGGATGCTTAGACATCCATATAGATGGTCGGTTTAATATTTGTGTAATAAATGCTTCGGTGTCCATAATAAAATGCTGCCGCTCGTGGATTCGTCCAAAAAATTTTGTTTGACTCGATCCGTCCCACGCTAGCCGTTTTCAACCGCCCGAAAAACCGCTGTGCACCGTGGCCATGCGCAAACTAGCCCATAGCTTTGTTTCCACCCGCCCGGCTGGCCCGCTACCGCTGTCCCGAACCGCCGCCGCCAGCCGCAGCCGCTCTAGCCCACCGCGCGTGAGTCGTGGCATACTTCATACATTTGTTTAACAAGCCAACCGCTGCCGCCACCCGCAACCGCTCCTAGTCCGTCTCCGTGGCCAAGCACTTAACCGGACACTGTTATTGCGTGGCGTTTTAATCAAAGCGGTCGAAAAACGAATGATTCAAAGTTACGCACAATAGACGCGTATGCGCAATTTTGCTTGAGGCGCTTTTTCAGCGCGATTGTTTTCTTGTTTTTATATGCTAATGGAATAAATACTTTAAATACAACAACCATATTGTAAAATTCATATTGTTTCTTCAGGATTCACATTATTATGTGCGTGCTGGTGTACCTCAAGGCGCTGTCATTGGCCTTCCACGGGATCAACTACCACTTCATTCAAACTCGGGGCGAGCACGTGACCGCCTGGGCTATCCTCTATTACATCACGCATCTGTGAGTATTATTACTCATTTACAGTGATCAGATAACACCATAATGTGTGTGCTGGTGTATCTCAAGGCGTTGTTGTCGGCCTTCCACGGTATCAGAAATAATTAATAGAAAAATTCCACGCGATCCAGCATTAAGATCTCTTAGCATAAATGGTTAGTGCGTTCGCCCGGATAGCGGAAAAAACAGGTTCGAATCCTATCTGATACCATGGAGCGAGTGGAATATCTTCTAGTAAAATTTTCTTTACAATAAATTAATGAATAATAATTTAATATCTGATTTCAAGCAATCGGCGTTGGAGCTAGCATTAACGACCAGTTTCAATAATCAACCTTCAGTAAAAGTTAAGGATAATTTGTTTCCGTTTTTTAGAAACAGTTAGTTATATAATCTAAATAATAAAAATATATTGGCAACAAAGCTTTAATAGGCCTATTTCTTACTGGAGTTTGACTATTGATACTGGTGGTTACAGTGATCAGGTTACCTGACGTTAATTTACCTAAACTGCAATGAAGTAACTTTCACATAGTTCATACAACGATCACAAAAAAAGAAAACCGGATTATAATTCGGTTTTAATTAGAACGCAGGGCGTAGAAGGATGAGTTATAACTCATCCTTCTACGCCCTGCGTTCTAGTATTAAGAATAGTGCGATTCAAATTTATTGCGGTTTAACTTCACGTTAGCAACGAGCACAGCGCAGGTTTCAATCAATGAAACCCATAGACATAGAAACCAACCTTAACCAAGTATAAAGTGAAACTCGACAGATAAAGTGTGGGAGAGACGAAGCGATCGGGGACCTATAGTTCGTCTATGCATTGGCTGTTTTTTCTCTCTTTCTAGAGAGTTGTCATGTCCATGCCATGCACGGAACGCTCAGTCCAATCTCTGTATCTATGAATTTCACTGACTGAGTATTCAAATATAAACTTTGTTGTTTAGGCTAAAAGGTGCTGTGTTGTTCGTAACCATTGTCCTGGTGGGCACCGGGTGGAACTTCATCAAACATATCCTTGCAGACAGAGACAAGAAGCTGTTTATGATAGTTATACCGCTTCAGGTGAATACATTGAATGCTATTATATATTTATTTAAAACACTTTTCTACACTATACGATGCGGTATTGATAACAAGTGACCGTGATTTAAATTAAAACAAATTAGGATTTAAAATTTTATTGCAAATTATTTTGGGATTAGGTTTGTTGATATCAACCCATGATTGATATTTTTACAGAAATATTACCAAAAGCTACTTATACCTACAGAATAAAAAAATATACCTGTGTATATTTATTCTTGTAAAAAACACTTTAATTAAAATGTTGTGATACTGCTAATAGTATATTATGATGTTGTCACTCAAGATAACAAAGCTAGTTAATTTTTCATTACACAAATTCGTAATTCATTTATGTCGTCACTACCTTATTTATACCGTTTTATATTCACATACGATGTTCAACGCAATAAAATCCTTTAATGTGCGAGAATTAATCGACATCAGAGCGAGTCACTTCTAATGCCAAAGTTTGCGAAGTTTAAGCGATACACCGAAAAGTCGGAAATAAAATCCGATTCACATAATACAAGCTGAGGTAGTACAAACTAGACATGGGCGTTTTTTGTTATGAACCCAAAAGGATATATATCCGATTTCAGATTTCAAAATCCTGTTTTAGATATCCGATTTCAGATCTGCCTAGCTCTTCTAATTCATTAGTTTGTTTTAATATTTGATTTTATTAGCTATTACAGTTTTTGTAGTAAACAAACATGCATTAAGCTGTAAGCCAACATACATCACCTCACCGCCTAGTCACGCAAATATAGTCTTTAAGTACTGAGTCGTAGGACTATATTGATCGCACATATTCAATGGCAATTGATTTCCGCAAGCAACAAACCAGATTTCGGTTTGTTGTTTGCGGAAATCAATTGCCATTCTTCCGAAATTCGCACTCATCTTTTTTATTCCGCTATGTTACGATTGATTAGAGAGACAAAGTGAATTTTACTGATGCTCGAAGTTGTGAAGAATCCGATTTACGTTTGGATGCGCATACACAATACGTTTGGTGGTATTAGATCGTTAGCGTTTTGGTTCGGTTAGATTTCTGAGATCGGATTTTCTTGTTGAGAAATCTATTCGGAATCGATTTGTGTTTGAAATCGGATTTTGGATTCGTTTTGATATGTCACACAAACAAGAATGTTTGATTTCGATCGTTCAAACGGCCTAAATTTTAACGTCATTTACTAACTGGAAGTCTACATGTTTCATTTCGCACAAACTTCGCATGTGAAAACATGTTGCGCAAACATAATTTGACGACATAATGGACCTTTAAATATCGACGTTAATTGCGCAGGTAGTGGCTAATGTTGCCGAGATAATAATAGCGGAGAGCGAGGAAGGCGCCGCTGAACACAACGCTTGGCGGGAGATCTTCATAATGGTCGACCTCATATGCTGCGGGGCCATTCTGTTCCCGGTCGTTTGGTAAGGTCACTTTAATTCCCTACCAATATCATACATTCTAAATTAACTCTGTCTGTCCTGCTCACTTTGTCTTAGGTAATGAGGGTGTTTATGAAAATTTACCTCACCACTTGGCGCCACTGTGGAGTGAAGTCTTTTGTATGGATTATTGCTTAATTTAATAAAACAACTTTTGAAAGGAAATAAGAAAAACTCACTCTATAGTTACGTTTCGAACACTTTACAGGCTCTGTTGTGGCTATCTTGCAACCTATAAGAATCCGAAACGTCAAGAATAATGTTAAATCTAATTAAAAGCTCTTTTTACCCGTCCAAAAAGTGCTTTATGAAATGATTGCTGTGCGTAAAAACATATATTAATATATGAATGCTTATTCGCAAGAGACTTATTGTTAACGTAACTTGTTAGCAAAACATGTTGACTCGGACAAAAACAACCCAAGAGACCAGCGTGTCGTTCTACTACTTTAAAGTAATATTCGTGTATCAATGGCGTTTCCATTGTTTTCATTTTTAAACCAGTTTGAAACATAAATTCGCATATATATTAATTTGCCTACTCATTGGTCATATAGTTATTGTTATCTATAATATAATTAAACCATTTTTGACACGATTATTACGTTAGCTTGCTAGAATTGGGACACTGATTTTACGCTATCCTACTAATATTAAAAATATGAAAGTTTGTGTATTTATTACTCAATTTCACAAAAAAATACTCAACGGATTTGAAGAGATTTGGTACATATATAGTTTATGACCTGGATTGAGACATAGGATACTTTTAATCCCAAAAAAATTATAGGAGTTCTCAAAAAACTAAATATAACTCGTTCGAAATCGCGGGCTGCAGCTAATAAACACATAAATCATGCATCGTCGTTATTCAGGTCGATACGTCACTTGCAAGACGCGTCGAGCACAGACGGCAAGGCGGCCATCAATCTTCGCAAGCTGAAGCTGTTCAAACACTTCTACATTATGGTCGTGTGCTACATATACTTTACCAGAATCATCATATCACTGCTCAAGGTGAAATAACATTTCAGGTTTTTTCACAATTGAACTTAATCGTAAATCACCACCCCATCTAATATATTTAATTATCTTGTCCAAACCATCCCACTTGCGATGCTCTGAAAGTTATTTCATAAGTATTATTGTGGCGTATCAATTAATTTTGATTTATGTCATGGAAATTGACATTTCTGTATATATTGGGTTATCCGGCTCGAAGGACCAAAATGTGGGAAGCTTTATTAAGCCCTCTTATTAGGCGTCGATCCCTGGACTAAGCTTGAGGACACTGTTCAATAATAGATCAGTAGCTGCTGAGACAATTTTTTAATTATTGTTAATGTGTAAGTATCAGAAAGTTTAAATTTAAAACAGTGCTACAATATTCTGGTACTCTTGTATGAAGGAATGAGTGAGAAAGAGGGGCAGAAGTATAAGGGGGTCCCATTAAAAATAATGAAATTCAATGTTAAACTATAAAATCGAAGCATTCCACAAAAAATGCCAAAATTTCAGCTCTGTAACTCTTTCCGTTTACGATCTATACACCGTGGCATACAGACAGATAGACAGAAATACTGAATGTCAGCAATAGGGCTGTGATGATAATTTCTCCTCCACTGCCCTCTTTTACTCTACCTCAGAGAGCAGGGGAAGCAATGAAAGAAAACCAAAAAATTCAAATAATGCTATAATTATATTTCACCAACTATGGATTCTAAAGAAGATTAATACAGTAGTTCTAAGTTCTAGTTTATATAAATTGCCAAGTTGACATCCGTATTTCTATCTTTATATATATAATTCTTCTGTGAGTGTGTATGTCACTGAACTTCTCTTAAACGACTGGACCGATTTTGATGAAATTTTTTGTGTGTGTTCAAGGGGATCTGAGAATGGTTTAGATTTACAATTTTGTCCGCTGGACAACCCCTATTTTTTTAGGGCGGTACGAAGTTCGCTGGGTCAGCTAGTATATATATATATATATATAGAAAGGGGTAGGTCGGGGTCCAACCTCGCCTGGTGGTACCTGTTCCACGCTCGCCCGGTGTTAGTTATCAAAAATACCTTGTTTAGGATAGGTTCAGCAGTGTATGATCTGTCCGCAGTTACATGAAACCCTAGAGCGGCTTGCAACCTTTATTGTAATGATCTCACGAGTCCCCTCTGGTCCGTGTACAGAGAGGGAATCTCCTTGTTATTCCTCCAGTATTTCTTGAGGAGAGTGTATAAGCTGTTCGAAATATAAAACTATCCGTAAGTATTTTGTTTCCTATCACAAGTTCCGAACCGCCTTGCGAGATTCTGGAACCGTACACCTGTGAAACTATCAACCCGAATTACAGTTCGGCCAGCGTCTCCGCGCTATTTCCGCCAATATCCTTCAGGATATAAACTTTTCGGATCTATTTCACGACTCCGACGACGAGGTAATGGTCCTCCTTATAAGATACTTTGGGCAGAAGACAAAATTCGAATTACTTTTCCGAAAAAAAAATGTGAAATTTTTAAATGTTGTTTTGACAACTGAGCATAGATGATAGACCGCCCACTCCCAAATATGTGTCTATGATTTGTTTCTCTCTCCAACTGAAGGCAAAGGCCACAGTCAAACAGACAGCCGCCGCATTCGAGATGAAACAACGAATCAACTCAAAACTATATAACTATGCTCGCCGTAAGCGGAGGAAAAGAGAGTACCCACCTAAATCAGCGAGGAAGTTCAATTTCGAGTAAAATTCAAATCGATTAAAAAGAACGCCCGATGGAGAACTCAAATCGATATGGGAAAAATTATTCAAAATTCAACAACTGTCGAACTCCATCCATTTTTTTTTTATAAGTGTCAAGTCGAATATTTTATTCGAATAAAAGAAAGCAACTATTCCCTCAATGCTACCAACCCAATCAATGAAGTTTGACAGCTACGCCGACGTCAGCGGTTCGCTATCATAGACAAAACAGCTGTCCTACGTGTGTCAGTTATTTAATTGTCAGTGTCACGCCCTGTTTAAAAACAAACACTACAGGGCTCCGCTTTTACCCTTTGAGTACGGAACCCTAAAACTCATCGAATCGAAATTCATCGAAACGAAAAGTTAATTTAACTATAATCAGTCCTGCAATGAACAAAGTTTTAATTTTTGCTACTGTCAGTCCACTGCAGACTTATCGTGGTCCGACTGTATCATTCTTTCTTTTTACAAAATTATTTATTTATTTTATTTATTTAAGGACAACCAACAAGAATATCCACACAAAGTATAATATAACAAAAGTGTATAAGTGACAATTCAAGTGGTATCTTAATTATAGGCTGCCACGGCATGCATTTGTGACAATAATGACAGAGTGCATTCTTAACAAAATTATAAAAGTATAAAAAGAAGTAATTATGCATGATATTCACAAACATGTTGTTGTTACATTGAACATATCCAATACGACAGAACGATTGTGCAGCAAGAAATCAGGAGATACTACAATATTAATAATACAATGCTTATTATGCTAAGCAGGAGCAAAATTTTTTATGTTTGATTGATGACAGATGGAGCAACATTTTTTACAAATTCACCATAGTCACTAAATAGGTCTAGATTAGAGGCCTTAGACATTTTATTATAATATGATTGCATACGACACAGTGACGAAAAGAGACCTAAATTAGATTTGAATATCTTGGGCATAAATAATTTGTAATTAGATGATCGCGGTAGGTTATGTGGTAAATTATATTTTATATTAGCTAACTATTTAAAAAAAATTAAATCTGCGACTTTTCTACGGTCGTCCAAACTTAATAGCATAAAGTAATCTAAACGTTTTTTATATGAAGTGAGTTCGTTAGTTTTTTGACACTGGAAAGCTAAATGCCAGAGAAACCTTTTATTGAGTGATTCAATTCTCTTTTTGTGTATATCGTAGAACGGTGTCCAAACAGGGCTACAATATTCAACTATCGATCTAACAAGGCAATTGTATAGGCAAATTTTAGTGTGAGCAGATTTTAATTCTTTACTATTGCGTATCACAAATCCTAGTAATTTGAAGCATCGAGTAACAATATTATCAATGTGTATATTGAACCTTAATTTGTTGTCAATAATAACACCCAAATCACGAGCCGTATCAACCTCCCTCAGGTTTTGGCCATTTAATGTATAGGATGAGAAATGTGGTAATTTCTTTCTAGAAAAATGCATGAAGAAACATTTGTCAGGATTCAACTTCAATAGATTTTTATCACACCATACAGCAAACCGATTGATATCTTCTTGCAACAAGTGCACGTCCACTACGTTGGATACATGCTTTACAATTTTAATATCATCTGCATATAAGTAACATTGAGAGTGATGGAAGCAAGAGATGACATCGTTAATAAACAAATTAAAAAATAATGGTCCTAAATTTGAGCCTTGTGGGACCCCCGATGACGTCACATACACTGTGGACTCATATCCTTTTATAACTACTTTTTCGATTATGTTGGATTTCGTATTTTTGCGGGCTTTTAATAATTTCATTATAGGGTAGTTTATGCACTTGCAATTGCCTTAATCCAATCTGTCTCCCATCCTTTTCATACATGTGCACTTTTAGCTATGGCCGTCCTGCTTTTCGACGACACCGCGGAGTGCATAGGACATTATACTTTTTCCGCCTCTCTCTTGTGAACGTTGTAATGGAAGACACTCATGTTGTGATATAGTATCCAAAAATTATTGTGCGATTATTACTATTAGTGAACATTTTACATTGTGCAATTTATATAAATACAGAATCTGTGCCGGCAAACGATTTATTTTCCATATAAGTGCTTGAAGGACGACTTGTGACCAAACGGATGGTGTGCTGAGGTAAGTGCGCATGTTCCTTTCCTTTGTCTCCAGGTCTTCAACCATTTTCTTCGTCCTTAAATAGATAAGGCATTTGCAAGGCGCAGTTTATTTTGTATTTTTAATAATATATGATTGTGTGTTACCGCCCCCCATATACAGTCCACTTTTCCACCTACGCCTAGGGTTAGCCTCACCATATAACTATTGAGCACGCAAAATTATTATTTTCCCGCAACCCAAGTTATGGGGGTTTATGCGCCTCCATACTTTTTTGGTCACTTCGATCCAAATTTTCCCATTATTTATGGTCAGTTCTAACCAGATTTTCCCAAATTAATGTAATTTCGCTACAGTTTTAATCATTGTTTACATGAATATAAGTGTTGTTGTTCAATTTGGCAAATATTTACATAGAAATCATAAATTCATTTTCGTTCAAATACACAATCGCTAAGAATTTACAATTTACTAAAATCCGCTAAGTATAACTTATAGTGGTAGTTGTGCTACGTAAATTAAATAAATTGTCGAATTTCTATTGTTATTATTCCGCATCTACAGTTTATTATTTTTATGTCCGCACCGCATTACGTAGTCCAATACATCATTGAGTTATACACATTCCATTTTTCGCATAAATTATAATAGTGTTCATTTTATTTTTTCATTGTTCGGTTAAGATCGGCTCGCCCCGCTAACGATCGTACACTCGCATCTCAACGTTCGCTACCCGCTAATAGTATTTTTTCTTACCCGCCAATCTCACCCGCTAATATTTTTACTATAATTTACTTTTAAAGCCGTTAAGATTGCCTACTATATACATTCTGTTAAAGATCCAATAGCATTCACATAAAATATTTTACCTTTAATTTATTTACCGCACATATTTTTATTCTTTATTGCCTATCGTAATTTGCTAACTATTTATAACCATGGTTAAGTCGAAGAGGAGGGGCAGTGAAGGTTTTGCAGGGGATAGTTATGATACAAATAAAAATCAGCTGACTATTGATATAGTCAAACGCGATGTTATTTATAAACGTATAGAAAATATTTATGAGCTCGCACAAAAATCGGAAAAAGATCCGCAATATTATAAAGCATTTTGTGCTAGTGCATTAAATATAGACACTTTACGTACAGATTATCAGGAAGTTTTAGATT